GTGAAATCTATTCATTTAAATCTACATTAGGAAAGTCTTGTAAGATTTGAATAATTGTTTAGTGTACCTAAACAGCCTCAATAGGAATAATTCACCCAAAAAAGAACATTTCCTCTCCATTGACACATTCTTCTAAACATTTATAAAATTATTTAGTCTGTGGAACACAAAAAAAGATATTTTGAAGAATAAAATTGACATCCACAGTAGGAACAAAATATATTATGAAAGTCGATGGCTTTTTTCTCACACATTTTTCAGCATATCCTCATTTGAGTTCAAGAGAAAAAAGAAACTCAAGCAGGTCTGGAACGAGTGGATAATGAATAAATGATGACAGAACTTTTGAGTGAACTATCCCTTTAAGCTTTGGGCTGCAATCAGTGTTGAATTTAGAATTTTAGCAACTACCTTCCTTTCCCCTGTCCTACTTCTGCTTTAAAATGTGGAAAAATTCATGACTAGCTAGTCGTACTATATAAACCTGCATGTCGAATTAACAAACAACATTATCTGTAGGCTATATTTAGTCATTTTTAACAAAAACAACACCAAGCCCCATTCCATTGCATCACAGTTGGCTGATATCACCATTACCAGATCTGCTAGAAAAGAACTCAAACTGAAGCCCTCAGTGCCGCCCCCATCCAGGTGACCACATTTATTAAAAGCCATTGAGAGACGCCGAGGCGAAGTGAGAAATGGGTGTTGAGTCTTTTAGAAGCAGATTGTAATCCCCACACTGGGGAGATGTGGGAGTTGTTTGATGGTGGAAATCCCCCGGGAGTGTGATAATGCACAATTATCTAATGCTTTCACTTCTGTAGAGCTGCAACCGTGCTTTATGTGCATTACTAGCTATACTGTACGACAGAATCAACTGAATCGCAACCAATCTGTGAAAGATAATGAGCACATCACAAAGGTGAAGAGGTGTAATGTGCTATAATGTGAAACTGCTGCTGTTTGTTTGCTTGTTGATGATTTTTGTGGACGAGAAAATTAAGCAGTTCAGCATTTACAAAAACATTTGTTGCGCAATTCAAGCTGGAATAACCCTTTTGATTGAATCATATATAACAAGTGAGTCCTGATCAAATGGTTAATTTTGAGTTTGATCTTTTTGAAGAATCGGTTTAACTGGTTCAGTGCTGTTTTTTGCAGGAATTGGGATGAACTGATACAGACGTCAGTGGCTATATGAACTGAAAACCATGACTGTAATAAAAAAAAAATCAGTCTGTGTTAACACTTTTATAGTGCACTATTTGAGTGGAAAACTATTTTTAGTGCTGTCTGAAACTAAAGTGGACTGAGCATTATTGAGTGCACTTATTTAATATCATAATGCACTGTAGTAATAAGTATACATTGGATGTACATCCAACAGCTAGCATATCAAGACGTTAGGACATGATTTATTTATGAGTCAGGAACTAATGAGATGAGGGTTTAACAAATGGGATGAAAAGACATACAGTAATACTACTAAATAATACTGCAAATTAGGGCTAGGCAATTAATCGGAAACATTCAGAACCTATTATCGATCTAACTTTTCCAGGATGATTTTTTTCAATTACTTTCCCTATGTGTCACTTGACTTGACCTCGCTCTGTTAAAGGCCACATCTGATCTCGAATCAAGTAGGACTATGGACTTATTCTTGAGCCTTTGCACTACACTGACAATCATTGGAAGCTGTACCAGAGATGCCTTCATACGACATATAAAACTTGTGGACTAAGGGGCAAAATAATTATTTTAAATAAATAAATAAATAAAATAATTGTTCATTAATCGTAATCGAGTTAAAATGTTCAATTAAATGAGATTTAGATTTTAGGCCAAATCGCCCAGTCTTACAAACCATGGATAGTGCTTTTGAAAACTATCCATGGTTTGTTTACAAAAAAGAAACAAGAAAAAACATGGTAACTTATAATACTATAAATTAGGACTGCACTGTATTGAAAATATTGGATATTGAGATATTTTATTTTTCTGCAATAAATATTGTGATAATGATTACAGTTTCACAAGATGCTTTGAAAAGCTCTATTTGCTAAAAATACTGCTTTTCTTAGCTTGCTTTGTCCTGCTTCTAGTCCAAATATCAAAAAGCTCTTAAATGAAGTAAAACTTGTTTAGTTTTCACTTTCAGAATAAACAAGTCAAAACTAAGAGATTTTTTATTAACAAGCTAAATTATCTGCCAGTAGGAATGAGATTCAAAGATTCTGACAGTATGGTAACCTTGGATAAAAATATCACTGTTTTATGGTATTGTAATTAATGCTTTATAACATATTCTTTTTAAATATATGGGGAAAAAACTTCTGCTTTGAATGCAGAAAAAAAAAACTATTTTGAGAAACATTTAGAATATTTTAGAACAATCAACATGTCAACCTTACTAATTCAAATAAATCGTTAACTTCTTGCTTTCTTCATTAGATTCAAAAACACAGACTTCTTCACAACTTAAAACGGCATCTCTGGAGATCTTTTCTGCTGGAGATACTGTTGTCATAACATTATTTTAACAAATCTTACATACACCATAGAAACGCAGAAAACCCTTTTTTCCAAACCACGATATACCTTGAAAACGGTTATCGTCTCATGCCTATCAGCCAGTGGGGTAAGTGAAATAATCTTGTTTTCGCTTTGAAAAGTAGACACTTAGACAAAAAACAAGACAATGAAGACAAGAATGTTTGGCATAAATCAAACAAATTCCATATAAAAACCATAATTAAATACAATTGTGTAGCTTTTGGTTAAAAATAATTCTAACTCAACATTACATATCTTGCAATGTGACTACTGCAAATGGGCACATTGCGATATAGATGTTGAAACAATACATATTGCAGCCCTACTATAAATCAATATTTACTAAAATTAATGTAATGAATAAATAGAAAACATTGTTACGTTGCTTTAACTAAAGTTAACCATGGTTTTACTATAAAAAAAACAGAATGATGGTCCAATTAATTTATGATTTTGCTACAATATTAGGCATAGTTAACCCATGATATTTGTAGTAAAAAATGTATTATACAAATATGAAATATTCAAATATGCTGACTAATAAAATCATGGTTTAAAATATGGTAACTAAAAGTCTACAATAATAAAAGCTATTATTAACCCTTTAATTGCCCCACCAAGCAACTAAATTTGGGATTGTATTTCTCAACTCCTAATGTCGCTAATTTACACACTCGATGTACCTTTCTTCCAACACACCCTATAATTTCTAAAATATCAATCTTTACCAAATGGTTGAAATGTTGGTGTATGGTCAAAACACCGGCATACAATGAAAAATCTGAAAATATGAAGTGTTAAACCAATTTTAAAATAAAAAATATATATATTTTTGAAAACTAAATTATCTTCATTTATTGAAGTATGACAAAATCTTTCAGATTATCATTTAACATGTTTTCACAATTTAACCAAAATCAAGCATAGTAGTGCAACAGGATTGATTGATTTTTTTGTAAATCAACAATGCTGTGTGTGTAAACCATTTATTAAAACAGTCATTCTTTAAATGACTTTAACAGTCATTATTTAAAACAGCCAATATATGGTCAACCATTTGGTACAGCATGCAGTTAAAGCGTTAATAATTATGAGATGGGGTGTTTTATGATAATTTAATAAAAATGCATACGATTTATATTTTAAATATATTAACAATGCAATAAATAAATCTGACACAAGACCCATGCTACAAAGATAACCAACACCCTTTATTTCTGCATGCTTTAATTGCGCGCATAAAACCATCAAATATGTCAGGGAGCGCGCGCGCGTGACGTATTGAATCTCTGATTTGATTGTTTTGAAAAGTACTGCTCAAAGGAATCGATTCGAGGAAATGAGTCAAATGAAAGCAACAACAATAAGTGGGTGAAATATAACCAGTGCACCACACAGTCCTCAGCCTTCATCTTTGGCCACGCACACGAGTGTAAACAATGACATTTAATCACACATGATAGAGAAAGTATGCGCTAAATAAAACGCTCGTGCTCGCCATACTGTAAACGCGCGACTGCGTACAATGGACGCGTGCTGTTTATGGCTCTGCAAAAAGTCGCTAAACCTAATTTCGCGATATAAAACACAACCGCCGCGTTATTATTTCACAATTCACACATAAAACCCAGTTCAGGGCGATGGTGGGCGAAAGCAGTCGCGTTTAGCGTCAGGAAACACCGTTTTCTAGACAGAATCGCTCCAGAAACGCCCCTTCGTGGTTTTAAAATGGCAGCAGCACATGAGGAGCTCTTATTTCCTTAATTCTCAGCACTTCTTGGATACATTCACCTACAGCTCATGGTTCGGATACACAACAGCAAAGTCTAAAAGCAAAGCAGGGATGATTGTATAACAAAAACAACACGCACACAAAAATATGAATCCCAAACAAACCCACTTCCTTGAATGTAACTTTGATCATAATGCTATATACGCCCATATTTTGCATATCAACAACAGCGAGCGACCATCACACAAGCGGCGGGCTCATCATCATTTTAATGCAGACCCCAAAATCAGAAAGTGAAAGACTGACACTTCATATTTGCATTTGAATAAACAGAAAACAAGTAAACAGCATCTCCAGCGTTTTGCTCCCTCCCCCACTTTTCCTCCCATGCCATTTCTGACGTGCTATTATTATCACTATACAATAATGCAAACACTCAATAAAAGCACACAACTCAAAAAGCGCGTGGTGTAAGGAATAAAAACAAACAAGTAAGACGTATTGTAAACTCACATACCCATCCATTGCACAGAGCAAAACAGAGGCGAGGTGAAATAACAATGCAAGCACAGGGAAATGAAGAAACGGGTGTTGCTGTTACTACAGTTCGACTCCCCAACACAAATTCACTCGCTCAAGCACAAAGGCACGCACACACTTCCTGCTCCTGACGCGAACACACACACACACACACACACACACGTACAGACGCTTCTCTGTACAAAATGGCCTCCCCCTTTCAGCAGACACACCTTTGAAGAGCCGCGTAATATTTTTGTTTTGTTTTAAGCTCTCATATATGTTCATGTATATGTGCTTATTATTACGCAGTGAATTGTGCGCGCGCACCGTTTGCGCGTGCTTTGTTGTGGGATCGTTTGATGTTAGTTTCAGCACTCGTGTAATCTTGTTCCTGGAATATATTTATTAATTAAGCTAATGAAGCCTTTAGAAAAGAGCTTTTAAGAGCTTCGAAGTCGAGACATCTATTTTGTTATTCAGAATAAACTCATCAACGATTATTTGAGTTATTAATTAATGTGACGCGGCGTGTTTTTAAATAACTTAATGTCCATTTTTATAAGCTTGTCGCTCGAAGGCGGTGAAGATTGTATCGTGTGTGTACATGAAGCATGTAAGAACTTGCTTCACTTGTTGGACCGGCTGAACTGCAGTCTTGTGCTTACATAAAATGTTTATGCATGTAGTCGCACATTCATAGGCTACATGTAAACTATTTCAGTGCGGTGAGAAGTTGAAGTAGTCATTTGAACGCAGTGCTTTGACTCAAAGGGTTTTAACTTGAGTCCGGGGGCCCCCATGGGGCCACAAAGGAGTGTTAATGTAGGAGAAATAGAAGTAAACAAAATATAAAATACGTTTTATAAAAAAAATTGCAAAAATATAAATGACAAAATAACCATGTTAACTAATTAAATCTAAGAAAATAAAATATTGTAAAAGATAATAAATCAAACCAGATTAAAATAAATTATATTATAACAAAATACAAAATAAATTCAAATACAAATTTGATTAAAATAATTTGATCAAAATATGTAAACTGTATATATATATATATATATATATATATATATATATATATATATATATATATATATATATATATACATACACAGTTGAAGTCAGAATTATTAGCCCCCTAAATAGACCGCTTGTTTATTTTTTCCCCAATTTCTGTTTAACCAAGAGAAGATTTTTCAACACATTTCTAAACATAATAATTTTAATAACTCATTTCTAATAACCAATTTATTTTATCTTTACCATGATGTCTGTAAAAAATTTTTGAGTAGATATTTTTCAAGACACTTCTATACGGCTTAAAGTGACATTTAAAGGCTTAAATAGGTTAATTAAGTTAACTAGGCAGGTTAGGGGAATTAGGCAAGTTATTGTATAACAGTGGTTTGTTCTGTCGTTTATAGAGAAAAAATATAGCTTAAATGGGCTAATAATTTTGTTCCTTAAAATGGTTCATAAAAAAGTCCAAGCTGGTTTTATTCTAGCCGAAATAAAACAAATAAGACATTTTTCAGAAGAAAAAACATTATCAGACATAGTGTAAAAATGTCTTTGCTCTGTTAAACATCATTTGGAAAATATTTAAAAAAGAAGAAAAGAAATCGAAGGGGGCTAATAATTCTGACTTCAACTGTATATATATATATATATATATATATATATATATATATATATATATATATATACACACACACACACACACACACACACACATACAGTTAAAGTCAGAATTATTAGCCCCCATGAATTATTATCCCCCATGTCTATTTTCCCCCCCAATTTCTGTGTATAGGAAAGAAGTTTTTTTTAACATAATAGTTTTAATAACTCATTTCTAATAACTGATTAATTTTATGTTTACCATGATGACTGTAAATATTTTTGACTAGATATTTTTCAAGACACTTCTATACAGCTTAAAGTAACATTTAAATGCTTAATTGGGTTCATTAGATTAACTAGGCAGGTTAGGGTAATTAGGCAAGTTATTGTAACGATGGTTTGTTCAGTGGACTATCATAAAAATATATAGCTTAAAGGGCTAATAATTTTGACCCTAAGATGTTTTTTAAAAAATTAAAAACTGCTTTTAATCTAGCCGACATAAAACAAATAAGACTTTCACCAGAAAAATATTATCAGACATACTGTGAATTTTTTTGTGCTCTGTTAAACATAATTTGAGAAATGTAAAAAAAAAAAAAAAAATTTTATTTATTAAATTAAATTAATTAAATTAATTATTAAATTTAATAATTCTGATTTTTCATATATATATATATATATATATATATATATAGAGAGAGAGAGAGAGAGAGAGAGAGGTTAAATTTAACAAAATAACAAAAATTTAAATATATGATTAATTTAAATAAATATTGAAAAAATAAGTATTTAAATCAATTACATTGATTTAACTATAGTCTATAATCATCTAAATTAATAGAATCTACAAGAACTATACGAATGAACAAGTCACATATCCATATTCTTATACATATATACAGTATATATATAATATATATATATATATATATATATATATATATATATATATATATATATATATATATATATATATATATATATATATATATAAATTGTTTTTCGGCATAATTCCTTTTCTTTTTCACCAATCCGGGGTCACCACAGCGGAATGATCCGCCAACTGATTCAGCACGTTTTTATGGAGCTGATGCCTTTTCAGCTGCAACCCATCTTTGGGAAACATCCACACGCACTCATTCACACTCATACACTACGGAAAATTTAGCCTACCCAATTCACCTCTCCCGCATGTCTTTGGACTGTGGGGTAAACCGGAGCACCCGTAGGAAACCCACGCGAACACAGAGAGAACATGCAAACTCCACACAGATACGCAAAGTGACCCAGCTGAGGCTCGAACCAGAGATCTTCTTGCTGTGAGGTGACAGCACTACCTACTGCGCCACTGTGTCGCCCCATATATATATGTGTGTGTGTGTGTGTGTGTGTGTGTGTGTGTATAGCTTACTTTTAAGTTTTAGAGAGCTTTTATTCATAAATATGTGTTTATTTTCACCAATATTAGTGGAGTTTTTAATCAATGAAAATAAATAGGACAATTTTTCAAAGAAAAGCTGTTTAATCAATTAAAAATAAATAAATATTCCTTGACCACAACCTTCCAAAACACTAGAGGGCGAGAAAGAGAAGTCTTGTTAAACTTGCCGAGAGCCCGAACAAGCGATCTCTGTTTCCACCTAAAATAAAATGTTAAATTAATTAATTTAAATCATTATTATTATTTGACCGATACTCTTTTTTATTTACTAATAATAGCTATTATATAGTTGCATTATTGACTATTTTATACGTTCAATAACAAACAATATAACAATTATAGTTTGCTTTATTAAAAATTAATAATGATATTTATCTTAGAATTATGTTAACATGTTATTGGGTGTGTTACAAAGACGTAGCCATATTTAAATCCAATAATTACCTGAAGAGCAAACAAAAATAGGCTATGTTATTATTTAAAACAACGTAAATATTATGAAATAATAATATTATTAATTTCTCTAAATTAGGTAATTTATATGCAAATTAGAAGTATTTTTATATTGACGTGTACATTTCAAATACACGCAGTAAATACAGCACTGTATTAAAGCCACGTCTGAATAATTTATTTATTTAAATGCTATTTTGAATACTATTTATTTATTTATTTATTTATTTATTTATTTATTTATTTATTTATTTATTTATTTATTCATCCATTCATCCATTCATTTATTATTTCTTCAGTCAGTCTCCAGTGTTGTTGTTCCTGCAGCTACCGGAAGTACTGCACTCGCTGTGGATTCTGTTTCTAGAGTAAAGGGCGACTCACATCCAGACGTTCAGTGTTGAGTTTAATGTGTCACCAGGAGCCCCTCTGGATCATTGCGTTCCCATATCAGACATCATCCAGGAGACACAATAATGCTGCAGAACACAGGGTGAGTTTCAACAGTATTTTTGCTGTGTGCTTTATAATAGGACGCTTTATTAAATCACGTAGACTAACATAAAGTCCGTGTTCCGAGTTGTGAATGACACGAGAGAACTGGACCGATTTTAACAAGTCTGCAGCCTTGCGTTAAGAGTGTAACGTTAGCTGATTACACTGCAGTCTAGTGAAAATTATGCACATTTCAGAAGATTGTAGAAACATGTTTCATATCTTGTTAGTGTTTATCTAAGTTTAGTAGTTTGACCTTTACCCTAAAATCATACGCGCAAGTGTCAAGGAATGCCAAATCAAACAACTGGACAGACAATAGCGTTATACAAGACTGGACCATAGGACACACAGGACAAAAACGAACTACAGAAATAGATAGGTGTGTGTGTGTGTGTGTGTGTGTGTGTGTGTGTGTGTGTGTGTGTGTGTGTGTGTGAGTGAGACTGTGAGAGAGAATAGAAACACACGTCATACTACAACAAAGAAAAAAGATTTCTATGTGTGTGTGAAACTATATATAAAAAGAATCACATCTAAAATAAAAGTTGTTTTGACAATATTGTTTGTTAGACTTTTTTAATTTCAAAAGGAAATTCACTTCACAGCAGTGCTCTCCATACTAAAAATAGATAAAATAAGTTACATATGTATAATAATAAAATTACATGTATACTGCACATCTTAGTTTCAAATGAGTAAACACTTGTCCATATCTAATAACTGTGACAATTCAGCACAATTGATCTAGTATGATTTTGGTTATGCAATCTGATCACTGTTGGTAAAAAATTACTTCCTGTATCTTTTTCTGTAACACCGGGGTTGAATTAATCCTGCTTTAATAGAGCTTGCAAACGCTTGGACTATATAAAAAAGGGAGGATTATCGTGGTTCATCATACTGACAAATTTGTCCATCATTCGATTATGTGCAATTTCCCCAATTTCTGTTTAATGGAGAGATTTTTTTCAACACATTTGTGGACATAATAGTTTTAATAATTCATTTCTAATAACTAATTTATTTTATTTTTGCCATGATGACAGTAAATAATATTTGACAAGATATTTTTCAAGACACTTCTGTACAGCTTAAAGTGACAATTTAAAGACTTAATTAGGTTAATTAGGCTAACTAGGCAGGTTAGGATAATTAGGCAAGTTGTTGTATAATGATGGTTTGTTCTGTAGACATTAAAAAAAAATATCTAAAAGGGGCTAATAATTTTGTCCTTTAAAAAAATAATTGCTACTTCATAATAATTAAACATCATTTGGAAAAAAAATAAATAAATAAAATTCAAAAGGGGGCTAATAATTCTGACTTCAACTGTATGTGTGTGTGTGTTTTATATATATATATATATATATATATATATATATATATATATATATATTTATCTATATATATATATATATAAATATATAAAATGTCTAGATCCGATCGGGACCGATCATGTAGTTTCAGACTCAATCGGAATCGTATGTTACCTCCCGATCAGGACTTGAATATATATATATATATATATATATATATATATATATATATATATATATATATATATATATATATATATATATATATATATATATATATTAGTCATTATTTTTTTTTACACATCTATAGTTATGCAGTAGCACTGAGTTAGACCTCTTTCTTGACTTCACACAGGAACAGTAAAGTAGCAGAGACGCTATTGGTTAAATGCCAGAAAAGTAGAACACAGAAACAGCTTAACAACAATATATGATAATAATAAATAAACTCTTATATTTGTTTCATGTGTATACAGTATACACGAAAAATACAGACATAATACAGGCAAAAAATCTGAAAACATGGCACCTTTGTAGTTATTTTTTGTTTGTTGTTTTATGAAACAGAATATATGTTTTACTTCCAAAAAACCTTCAGCAGATGAATTCACTAACAAAATGTGATAAACATACCTACATATGCATATCTATTAAATAAATTGTTTAACTTTGATTTTAGACTTTACATAAGAATATAATTATATCTGAAGATCATTGTTTGTTTCGTGCATTGATTATGAAACAATCTGATTAATAAATGATTATTTGTTCATTTTAGGAAGTTAGCAGGATGCACCATTTTCATCACCGGAGCAAGTCGAGGTATTGGCAAGGCCATTGCTCTGAAAGCTGCGCAGGATGGAGCCAATGTAGTCATCGCTGCCAAAACAGCTGATCCACATCCCAAACTCCCCGGCACCATCTACACAGCTGCAGCAGAGAGTGAGAGTTTATTTTAACAAAAATCAGCATCACAGAGTGCACGTTTCCTGTACATGTTCTTTGTAGAGAAGCAAAACAATGAACTTGCAGGATCTGTTCACTTCCAAATTAAAGATTTCCTGATAATTTACTCATCCTAGATGTTCATTTCTTTCTTTATTAAGTCGAAAACAAATTTAAAGGGGTAGTTCACCTTAAAAAACTTATTTACTCACTAATAACTCAGCTTCTACTAGTTTTAAACATTTATAAGTTTCTTTTTTCGGTTCAACACAAAAAATTATACATTGAAGAAAGTCGAAAACCTGTAACCATTGACATCCATAGTACAAAAAACAAATACTATGAAAGTCAACAGAACTGATCTCCAGCTTTCTTCAAAATAGCTTTTTTTTGTGTTCAACAGAAGAGAGACAAGTAAAGGGTGAGTAAATATTGGCAAATGTTAATTTTTCATCTCTTTAAGCTTTTTGAGGTAAAAATTCCATAATATCTGTATTGTGGACTTCTATTGTGCTTAGTGGTTTGAACTTCAATAAGGCAGTTTAAAAGAAGCTTCAAAAGGCGCTATATTATCTCTTACCTAGCAAAACAATTTGTAATTTGTTCATTGTTTGGTCATTAAAAATGTCTTTTAACTACAAAACCTTCTCTTGCACATTCTTGAATGCAACCTTTTATGGTCAACATGTATGTAATTCTTTTTTTTTTTATCATTTTCTTGTTTAAATGGTCATATTCTTGGGTAAGACCCTTACCCTGGGATCATTTAAAGCAGGAATGTCCAAACTAGGTCCTGGTGGGCTGGTGTCCTGCAAAGTTTTGTTCCAACCCCAATCCGACACACCTGGGCTAGCTAATCAAGCTCTTACTAGGCTTTTTAGAAACATCCTTGCAGCTGTGTTGAGCAAGTTGGAGCTAAAATCTGCAGGACACTGGCCCTCCAGGATCGAGTTTGGACACCCCTGTCATTTGTAGCTGTACTAAAACTAAAATTTGCAAGTTTAAACCACTGATCACGATAGAAGTCCACTATATGAAGAAAAATCCTACATGTTTTGTTTAAAAAAAAAAAAAAAAATTATTTTTGACTGAAGAAAGAATTTATCTTTTTATCTTAGATAAGATAAGTCTGAGTAAGAAAATATTGAATTTTGGAAAATAAATCTTTTAACATTTAATAAACATGTGCATGACTTTTTTTGGCACAATAATGTTTCATAGTTTGAATGAAATATCACACAAGTAGCAGTCTGATGTGGCTGTAAATGGGCACTGCATTGGCACAAGGTCTTGGAGATCCACCAGTGATGATATACAGCCACACCGCACTGCTATGAGTGTTATATTATGTTTATACAACAGTCTGATGGCATAATCGAGTATATAAAAAAGAAAATCAAACACAAGGGTCTAAAAAAACTTTTGTAATCGGAACTACTTTTCTCCGTCCTTTCTTCACATCTGCAGCTGATGTCAGAACAGCAGAAGCCGTTGCTACTTCACCAACGTCACTTTAGAGCTGGTATTTGAATGACTCTCTAGCGTAATGTATAAAGTGATGTCAAAACAGCTGATTTTGCTCACATTTTAAGATTATATGGCTGAATGGCATGAAATGCCATCAGTCAACAGCAGAGGTGGGCAAACTACGGCCCACCGGCCATATGCGGCCCACTAAACACTTTCATCCGGCCCGCGAGGGAGTTTTTAAAATGCTGCTTCTGAGTAACGGTTTGGTTCAGAATTAGTAAATTAATGATGCAATTACAAGTGAACGCCATGTGATGGCAGTGTTGCACGCGGTACAGTTAGTACAACCAGTATAATTATAACTAGTGCTGTCAATCGATTAAAAAAATTAACTAATTAATTACACTTTTAAAAAAAATTAATTGCATTTAAAAGACTGAAACTTGTTATCTTGGCTATATGAATGTAAAATTAATGTAAACGCAAGACAAAAACTTTCAATTCAAAATATAATTTATTATTAGAATTTTTGATTAACTTGTAACACAGATTTCTTTATACAAACAACATACCCACAATAAACCTTCAAAATCCTAGCTTGACAGAAATATTTATTACAGAAATAAAAACACAGGCATGGTAGAGCCATTTGAGTTTCAAAACAATCAATGCCATTAAAGAAAACATTGATTTCCATGTTGGATTCTAAGTGGACTGCAAAAAAAATGCCAAAATACAGGCATTACAGATATGGAAAATAATAATAATAAAGTATCGAATACAAACAATTGCACTCATTGCATTGACGTAGCAGACTCCAGACTTTGACACCCTTGCGTAGAGAGGGGACCAGGCCTAATGTTCACATTAACACACTCATAATAACATGACTTGGAATAACAAAGACTAAGATTCTTCTTCCGTTTCATCTCATTGTTTTATGACTGATATGAACATATTGATAAAAGCTCAAATGAGATTGTTGTACATTTGACTCAAATAATATAATAATTGCTGGTTAAATGTGTTAATTTTTGTCACAGAATATATTTTCCATGCATACATCCACTTTAAAAGGTTATTTTATGAAGGATTTATGGTTTTATCAAGTTTTATGATAATTGATCTGTATATTCTAAAAGCAGTGCAAATTAGATTATTGTAAATTTGACTGAATAGTAAACATTAAGAATTAGTTTTAATGTGTTAATATGAGATCTTTTTCTATCAGACAATATCTTTTCTATTCTCCACTGTAAAAATTATTACATTAATATTATTATTATTATATTTTATATAGGATTATTTCATTGTTTTATGATGATTGATAAGTAAATATAAATAGCAGTGCAAATTAATTTGACTTGTAAATTTGACTTAATAATATTTAAAAAAATCTGTTTTGTGTTAATGTGACATGTTTCTGTTGGATATTATGTTTCTTGCATACTGCCACTATAAATAGAAGTTATTTTTTGAAGAACTTGACATGTGGCCCTTTACTTGGTTTGCAAAACTTGATGTGGCCCTCAGGTCTAAAAAATTTGCCCACCGCTGGTCTACAGAGATATCTTGTAGTATTTCACTGTTGCAATCGAGAGATTACAATAAAACTATGGTATAAATACAGCACTACAACATACAAAAGAGAGAGATCGAGTTAGAAAGTCATTTACCTGTTTAATAATGATTTGATCAGCTATAGTTTAAAACTGCGCTGTTTTCTTTTAGGACTTATTATGTGGTGTCTGTTGCCATCTTGTGGATAAACATCATCAACCGTCTTAGCTCAAAAGCCCCTTTCACACATACAGACCTTTCCGGAAAAAGGTTGTATGTGTGAACAGGTCCTTTTTGAAAATACCGGTAAACTCGTTCTGGCTATTTTCCGGAAAGAGAAGTTGTAACATTACCGGCAATTTGCCGGAATGCTGCGCTGTGTGAATGCAGAAGGAAGATTGTCGTAATAAGCGCGTGCACGTCTAGAACGTGCTGACGTGAGACATCTGCTTTAGCCAATCACAAAAGTCAGACGCATTTACGCCCGCGTGGTTTGTGAGAATAAAAGCCTTTGAATATTTTTCCAGACACATTTAGCTTCTAGAAGTTAGTTAGATCACGTTTATATGTTCTTCTTAATGCCAACTGTGTAAATAATCATCGATGAGATGCTTATGATAAGCCGTTGTTTGTTTACCTTCAAGCTTTGCGTGTGCCTGTGAAACAGCCTGTGAGCGTCTGCACACGCACATATTATGAACATCTCGACATGCGAAAGTGATCCTGCGAAAGTTGTTCACAATATTGATCATCCACAGAGTTTGTAATTTAGTCAAATGTTTACAAATACAAGCGCAGCCGTTTAAAGCTCATTTGTGGTGAATGATGTCAGAATTTACCGGTATTTTGGAATGGATGTGTGAATGCTCTTTTCCGGAAAATTTCCGTAACGTCCTCGCCTGTGTGAACAGCGCTTTTTTGAATATACCGGTAAAGTCGTTCCGGAAATTTTCCAGATATTTACCGGTATCACTGTGTGAAAGGGGCTAAAGACAGGCTAATGGCCGCCGATGTGCTGTCTTTTCGAAATTATAAATATTTAAAATAGGCACTTTCCTTATAAATAAATTTCATGGTTGCAATCTAAACAACTACATTCTTGACTAAAAAAGCCTCAAAAATACAGTATGTTGCCCAACAGCAGTAGTATTTGTCAAACTGTAGAGTATCCTCTGCTTGTTGCTGTATGTAGGCAGAGTAGTACACAAGGGTAAAGAGGCTGGACAAGTGCTGTTATTTGCAGAACATTGCACGGCTATCAGCCAATCAGATTCAAGAACCAGACAGAACTGTTGTATAAATAAAGATAACAGTAGTGCAAAGGTTTTAGCACTTAAAATATATGAACTGTAGATTATTATAGCATCTATATTATGACTGGGTGATATCAAATGACTTGAAGTGTGCAATGAATGTATTCCAGTCTACGTTACACACTTACATCTGCCTGGATTGTTGACACAAGGCCAAGGCTTCATGCTGGCCATTGGAAACTTGATTAATGACTGCTTGGCTGTTAATTCTAAACAGTCATCACTTGAATGCTTGAACCTATTAGGAGATTTGTTGCTGACCATGTGTGTGGCATGTTGAACACAGTGTACTATACACATCTGCTTATAGCTGTACCAGCATGCACTGTCAACAAAGGGTCCGCTTATATTGGCTGTATAAATGTGACTTGACATAACAAATTTGCAGGAGTTATAGCTTTTTTTTTTAAATAAACTTCAGCAAAGCTGCATTTATTTGATTACATTTACAGTAGACATCTTGTGAAATATTTTTTTATGTTTTAATATGTATAAGTTTGATGCTAAATATGTAAAAGATGGTGTATATAGACTTTGTACATTGTTTTTCTCATTTATAATAGTATTAAAATTGTAATTTTACCAAGGCATGAGCTTTTACAATTCAACAAAATAATCTGCCAATGGGGTAAGCAAAATAATCTTATATTGAAAGGAAAAACAAGAATATTTTGCTTGTTTTAAGGAAAAATTTTTCTTAATTTTGACATATTATTTCTTAAATTAAGACAATATGTTTCGCTTGTCTAGAAAAGGCTTCTGGATTTAAGTATTTTAAGATATTTGGACTAGAAGCAAGACAAAAAATTTAAGTATGAAAACCATTTTTTGCAGTGTATCAAAAACGTTTATCAGCATTCATACCTAAGCAATTTCTATAAATTATATATATAAAATATGTAATAAATATAAATACAAGGGGCGATGCAGTGGCGCAGTAGGTAGTGCTATCGCCTCACAGCAAGGTCACTGGTTCGAACCTCGGCTCAGTTGGCGTTTCTGTGTGGAGTTTGCATGTTCTCCCTGCGTTCACGTGGGTTGCACCTCCAGGTGCTCCGGTTTCCCCCACAGTCCAAAAACATGCGGTATAGGTGAATTGGGTAGGATAAATTGTCCATAGTGTGTGGATGTTTCCCTGAGATGGGTTGCAGCTGGAAGGGCATCCGCTGCGTAAAAATGTGCTGGATAAGTTGGCAATTAATTCCGCTGTGGCGACACCGGATTAATAAAGGGACAAGGCCGACAAGAAAATGAATGAATAGGTGATATATCAGATATATCAGATCGGAGTGAATGTGCAAAATCACTCCCTGATGTTAGATAGTGCTTAATGAAGAACAGAAATACCCCTGGACACAAGGTGCTGTTCAACATAATGTTCAACAGATGTTCTTACTCCTGAAGTTTTGTGTTGGTGTTCATGCTCACATTAGTGCTCTTTGTTTAGTTGTAAGGCGTTAAATGTCTGCTATTTCGCATCACTGAAAATCCTCCATGTGTGAGCCTTAAAAGGGACCTATTATGCCCCTTAGAACAAGATGTAAAATAAGTCTCTGATGTCCCTAGAGTGTGTATTTGATGTTTCAGCTATAAATACCAAACAAATAATGTTTTATAACTCCTTGAAACTGCTCATTTTTGGCTTTGATCATGCCATTTTGGTCACTGTCACTTTAAATTTTAATCAGATTGTGGTGCTCCCAGTCTTCTTTTCAAAAGAGGGCAGAACTACAAATGTGTCAGCTTAGTGGCAGATTCAAAAACAAGACTAAGGGTGCTTTCACACCTGCCTTATTTAGTTAGATTGAATCGCACTAGAGTTCGTTTTCCCTTTTGGTGTGGTTCGTTTGGGCAGGTGAGAATGCAGCAATCGTACTCGAGTGCGCACCAAATGTGGACCAAGTAAGCGTACCGAGACCTGCTTGAAGAGGTGGTCTCAGGAAGCTTTCAAACGAACCCTGGAGCGGTTAGTTTTTGGTGAGAATATAATTCGTACTAAAACAGGTCCAACCACAAAAAGTACTGCGCCTTTTGGACTAATTCAGCTGCCGTAGGCCGATGCACTGTGCATTATGGGATATGGAGGAAAAATATTTGTTGACAGCGCTTTACCAAAAGAGAGGGGGGGGGGACATTACCTGATGCATCGTTAGTAATATTTCCGCAAGATGACCATGTTGCAGTTTAGCTAAATTAATTCACGCCTTCTCCTGAACTGACGAGCGATGCATTAAAACACTGTTTTCCAGCCGCAGCCGCACTTCATTCTTGAAATGTATAGTTTGTCTAAAGCAGGGATACAGTCAGTCAGCTCAGTCGTTCCTTCATAGTAAAAAAGCGACATTTTGTGTCTGCCGGTTTTGTTTACCTGAGGGACTTCATTGGCATTTTCCCGTACCAGAATTCTGACCAATCAATAAGCAGTTTAGGAAATATGTTCAACAACATCTGGCCAATGAGAGATGTGGATTTTGTCAGTTGACTGCATTTTGGTTCGATTCAACTAGTTCGGACTAAAGCCAGCAATGTGGTGTAAAAACAACCCAAAGACTGCAGAAAATGCAACAATGTATTATTTATTGCCCTTGGTCCGGACCAAATGAAGCGAACTACAGATGTGAAAGCACCCTAAGGTCCTGTCCTATGCTAATGAGGGAGAGAATGTCACTAATGGGTGGGGCTTTCCCCCTGTTCAATGGGAGTATGGCAAAGTGTTTCTGCAAACTGTTTTTATGAAGTGTGATTATAAAAATCAAACTAATACATTTAACTGTTAGTGGCTGGTTATATTTACAGACTATTGCCACACAACTGTGCTTTAACCCCTTATAAAAGTGATTTTTGCATGATAGGCCCCCTTTAAGCTTGTGACTTGCTGCCACCTACTGGTGGTGTTGATGTCAAATTTATTTATCGATAAATCAGTCAAGACCAAAACTAAAACCCACTGAGCATAATATAGGTTTATAGTTATCGCGTTCAAACAACATTCAAAAAAATATTGAACATTTTGGGTAAATAATTGATACCCCAACACAAAGTATATTTCATCTAACCTCTATTTCTTTTTTGTTTTGCTGTATTTGTGTTTGATAGTTGAAGCAGCTGGAGGGAAAGCACTGCCGTGTATTGTGGACGTCCGTGATGAGAAGCAGATCAATGATGCTGTTGAACAGGCTGTGGAGAAGTTTGGAGGTATTTGGATCTACCATGTCTGTTCTTCTTAGACTCTTCTTTTTAGCACAAGTTTGTGTTTTTATTTATTTTTAATTTTTCCCCTCATTCTGTTGACAGGGATTGACATATTGGTCAACAATGCCAGTGCCATCAATTTAACAGGGACTCTTCAGACTCCAATGAAAAAGGCTGACCTCATGCTGGGCATCAATCTCAGGGGAACATACCTGACGTGAGTGTAAATACTATGTTATGACATTGACTATTAATAGTTTTTAGTCTCTGACCTGAAAGGCAGAGCATCAGTGGAGCTGCAGTACAGAACTCTCAGGTTTCCATTTGTTTCAAGTCAATAGATATTTATAAGAGATTGTTTTTACTCTTTAAAGAGGGATATTAACACAGATATGTGAACAAACCACATTTTGGCCACTTGTGAGCCATACACACTTTACATATAAGCAGGGAAAAAAAAATCACACAGATTCTGATTCACTCAAATTAGAGTCAGTCCTTGTTCATTTGTGGAAATTCATCTGAAATGAATCATGCTCTCATGTCTGCAGTGTAAGCAGATAGATTGGATTTTCACCTGTCAGTGCAAGCCGCACGTCATAAAAAAGGTAGCAAATGACATCATCTTTGATGCTTTCATCTTGGAACAGACTTCAGCAGAGTCCCAAACTTGTATACAATGACAAAAAAAGAAAGATTTCAGTATGTTAATAATCACATCATCTGTTAAAAAACAAATCACATTACTTGCACTAAAATGTGTATAAAAATAGGTGGATGGAAATGTAGTTAGTGGCCACCAGCACTTTTAAAATAAAAATTTAGACAGACAAAACAAAAGTAATACCTGTGGTTCCTGTTGAGTTATATTGAGTTTTTATGAAGCAGAACAACCAGTCTGGGCAAGAAAATTAACATTATTTACAACACTTTTTAATCCAGCTCTTTTTAAATAGTTATCTTTTAGGGGGTTTTCACCTTTTATTGGAACAGATAGTGGAGAGTTTAGACAGGAAAGTGTGGGGAGGGGAAAGAGGGGAAAGATAATCAAAGGCAAGTCATTTAAACACCTGTTTTAATACTGTAGTTCAACACTAGGCAATTAGCACCAACAAATTCATAGCCCTTTTAACTAGTTTTGAACCTGCGCTATTCCTCTAACTGTGGCTGCTGTTTTATTACAGGTCTAAACTGTGCATTCCACATCTTCTGAAGAGCAAAAACCCTCACATACTAAACCTCAGCCCACCTCTCAACCTCAACCCCATTTGGTTCAAAAACCACACGGGTGAGTGGAAGATCACATTCAGTGCACAAGAGCATTGGGTCTCATTCACTAATAAATGCATATGTTCTTCGTGTTTATACACACATTGGAACTTCTCATGAATACTTTTCTCTTAATTCACAACGTGCATTAGCACACAAAATTCATTCTTCTGTAATCTGTTGCATTTCACTGCTTATATTTGAGTGTACGTATTTTTATGGAATGAGACCCATTGGTTCAAAAATACTTAAGTTCAGTGCCATTATTTACTAAGGAAATGTTCATTGTTTTCCATTATGTTTATTTAGCTTACACCATTGCAAAGTATGGCATGTCCATGTGTGTACTGGGAATGGCAGAAGAGTTCAGAGGATCCATTGCCGTTAATGCCTTATGGCCAAAGACAGGTAATAATGGGCTTCATACATCAGGCATTAAATACTGTGCCTTCTTTATGCTGTTTTAAAGGTCGTCTTATACAGTGGTGTTGAAAGTCAGTAAACAAACTGCAATTTCTTTAGCCACATCTAAAATTCCTTCAAATTCTGAATGATTAAGAAGAAATTTTGAAATAGTTTCCTAATATTTATCTCTACTTAGGGCTGTTTTAAGCCATTCGACCAAAAGTCTTTATTTTATTAGGTTGTATTCGATCACATGGTTCTGGTGATGCATGAAATTCAGATGGAGGGCAAGATGTAAAAAAAACTGAATGGAAAACATTAGGGAATGTCTGTATTTTTGCGATTTATGCCATATTTAAGGATATATATATATATATATATATATATATATATATATATATATATATATATATATATATATATATATATATATAAAATAACCACATATGTTAGGCATGATCCTTTTATCATAAAGAGGGCCGAGTTTTCAACTGTACTAAAATATATTTATTTGTCATTGAGGTGGTAGATACTGTATAAGCTACTACATTACATGTTTGGAAGCATACTATAGACAATTACTAATTAAACTGTCATAGTAAATATATCGTCACTGTACAACGTTACCGTATTTATTACAGTTTATCAGTTTACTATGCTGCAGTCTTCTGCAGCATTCATTAACAAAGAGTTGTACACATTATACACTTTACTATGTGGCTCAAAAACATGTTTGTTATAAATTACTATAGTTTTCCCCATGTGGATATCTTTCAGATATCACGAAATAAAAGATGACAGCATACAAAAGCAAGGATGCATAGTCTACATTATTATATATTTATTTTTGTAAGGGGAGAAAAGTCCTCCACAATAGTAACAATAAAGTTTTGTCACTAGGGTTACATTTCTTTTTTATTCGATCTGATTTTACCGTCAGCAAACATTCACTGCTGCTGTGCATCTCGATGTTCATGGTAGGGTTGCTTATTCTGCCAAATTGCTAGTAAAGATTTGGATTATTGCAAAACAAGATGGAGATTTCATTGCAGCGATCACATGGCAGAGTACGTTATTTATATACTCCTGGATTTTGTGTGTTTTTTGGTGTATTTATCTGAATTTTGTATAACACATTAACATATTTATACACATAACTAGGCCTGTATATAATATTTATTGGTGCTGTTATTATCTTTATTATCGTCTTCAAAAAATGTTTTTACAGATGGATTTATTAAATAAATGTTTATTACATGCCGCCTTATGTTTTTCAGCCAGTTTCTTGAACTTTCTCCCCTTTATGTGCAAAAACTTTTGGAAGTCTGTAAAAGCTATTCTGCATTTCTTATTTTGGCTGATTTAAACAGTTATAAACAATATGTGTTCTGATAGCGATCACTTCCTGCCCTCTATTTGAATTTTGCACATCATCAATGGCGTCAGGTAAAAACAACCTACAGTGATGTATTTTAAACGGGTATTTTCTGGTTGCGATGTCATCTATATTTTAGAGACCAGTAAAATTTTACAATTCTCAACAACACAACACAATAGAGTACAAGGGAATCTGATACTAGAGACAAACAAATGAAAAAGTCCTCAGTTCTATAATAAAATAATAATAACTGGCTGTACTAAAAAAGCTTTAATTTTTTTTATGCAAACCTTTAGTATTCAGTTAACAGAAATTAAAGGAATATATCAAACTGACGTCAACTCCAAACATGAAAGCAAATACTCAGACTTCAATTGGAGATAACTCAAACAAACTTTATTTTCCATTGGATTAACTTGAATTTAAGAATAACAATGTGTGCTAGCAAAAAACAAAAAAGCTACAGAGTTTTGATTTCACACGGACTTTACACTTTATGAACCAACCGATTCTCTATGGATTTAGATGCAATTCATTATTGATACAACTCATCGATATATTGATAAGAATTTTTCTAATGCTTATTACCTTTAGCCATTCAGACGGCTGCCATGGACATGTTGGGCGGTTCTGAGGTTGGCAAGCAGTGCAGGAAGGTGGAGATCATGGCTGATGCAGCATACGCCATCTTCAAACAACCCACCAGCTTCACCGGACAGTTTGTTATTGATGAGGACATTCTCAAAAAGGAGGGCATTAAAGATTTTGATGTTTATGCTGTTGAGCCAGGTCGGTTCTACATGATTGATTTTTCACATTAAGATGGCAAAAAAAAGAAGTTTTTTTTAAATTTACTAACGATGAATATATGTTGATATGTTTGTATAAACATTCCTCCACAGTAAATTCTAGTATTTTTAAAAATTCTGTATTCAATGAAATGATATATTATTGGAAAATGTGAATGTGTTTATTTATTTAGGTCATCCATTGCTTCCTGACTTTTTCTTGGACGGCCAGCCTGAGGATCTAGTCAAGCATATGGAGGCACATGGTGAATTATAAGTCATAATGAACACATTTAAAGTATTGTTCTGCTTGGTATTCATCTTCTAAGTGCACTTCAGCAGTCTTCTCAGTTAGTTTCAATATTTCTTTTCAGGTGCCACTCCGGCGTTCACAACTGCAAAAGCAGATCCCGTTGCCGCAGGACCAGTTTCTGAGATGTTCAATACAATCAGAGGAATTATCAGTCCAGAGATGGTGAAAACCACACAAGGAGTGTACAAATTTAACTTGGCAGGTATTTTAACTATTTGAGTTCTTTTAAGCTTTTGTGGCCTTTCAGTCTTCAAAATGTCATATTTTTCCAATAATAAACAAAAGTGTGCAAAAGCCACATGTGAAAAAGTAACGTGCGTTGGTAAATAATTATTGTAACATAATAAGTATAACAAGTTTTTTTTTATTTATGACAAAATCTCTTTTGTGACTTTCTTATGTTTTTTCATCCTATAATCTGAAAAAAAATCCAAACTATGGGATATTCATTCCAGATTATGAAATGGCAATTGCAGTATTATAGCCTCATAGTGTTTTTTTATTTTTCATATTATAAATATAATGACCTAATTATTAGATATTGAGCTATCTGAGGTATTAATTCAATTTCTGCAAAGGTAATTGTTGATTTACAGACTCATTATGATTCCTAATCACAGCCCTTTTACCATTAACTTGCAACGAATTGTTTAGCTAAAGAAAAAGAAATGTGTTTTAGCAAAATAAGCTAAATTTTGATTACACACACACTTTAAAAAAAAGATGAGTCGCATTTGTATTTGTTGCCGTTATTTACAGGCGAGCATGCTGGAGTCTGGTATCTTGACCTGAAGAACGATGCTGGAAGTGCTGGAAATGGGGAACCTCCTGTCAAAGCTGATGTTGTCATGTCGATGGACAGTGAGGATTTTGTCAAGATGTTTGGAGGTAAAAGAAGCACTGAAATTGAGTTATGGGGTGTTGTGTTTTAAATCTAAAAACTTGAGGCACTAATGAATGTTCTTCATCAACAGGGAAATTAAAGCCAACCATGGCCTTCATGTCTGGAAAGCTGACTATTAAGGGTGACATGGGCCTTGCCATCAAACTGGAGAAGATGATGGCCATGATGAAGTCTAAACTGTGAACACATCACGCAGTCTCCTGCCTTACAAGATGTACATGATGACCTCTTTTCTATATCAGTGTTTTTTGATTAAACTAATTGTTCAGATTGTACTAATTTTAATAAAGAACTATCAGGTAGTTATAGTTTCTTTACTTAATGCAAGTAGCATAGAGTTCATTATTGGCTGCCCACTTTTACTGCAGCACTGGCCCTGAAAGTGATTGAAAGTTAAAGTGAAATGTATTGTTCCCTTTGGAATTTCAAAGAAATCTTTGTTAAAACAAGATAAACCGAACCTCAATGAGGAGGTTTGATTTTAAGTTGGGAAAATACCACACACACACACAAAAAAAACAAATGCACATATATAAATAATGATTCATGGTGCTTCTTTGGAGTGGGCAGAGACAAAGTTTTTGTTTTGCATAGCTAACTCACTGCATCTGTGGTTAAATTTCCTGCAGATATTTCACTATTAAATGCTTTAAATATGTTGAACTAGTGAACAGAGGACCAAATGTCAACCTCGGAGCTAAACCCATAATTAACCTTTTAACCAAACTAATCTAGGAATTCATTCAAGCCAAACTTTTAGAATCTGTTTGTCATTTCCTTTTGGATAACAGAGAGGCTTTAACTTCTTAGACCAGGGGTGTCCAAACTCGGTCCTGGAGGGCCAGTGTCCTGTAAAGTTTAGCTCCAACCCTAATCAAACACACCTGAACCAGCTAATCAAGCTCTTACTAATCAAGGTGTTCAAGTAGTATTTAGCTGCGGTCACACTAGATTTTTCTCCTCATAGACTTTCATTCATATGCACGCAAATGCATCAGACCGGAAACACAAGCTGTTGCAACAAGTTTAGCAGTTCGCTGCATTGGAAGGTTCAAGCTTGGTGAACGCTGACCTATGAAATCGCATCACATAATTGTGTGAGACTAATTGAAGATCAAAACATGACCTCTCTGGACAGAAATTTAAAATATGGATCATGTTGCAGTCACACTAGAGTTTTGCATGCAATATTCTGTTGTACAGTGCTGGGAAAAGGGGCGGGATTTTACAGGATGATAAGCGACTGCTCCATGTTTTAAATTTCTGTTCAGAGAGGTTTTGCTTTTCAGTTGGTCTCATGAAATCATGTAATGCGATTTTGCAGGTTAGAGTTCACCAAGCTTGAACTTTCCAATGCAGTGAACTGCAAAAACTTGCCGCACAAGCTTGTGTTTCTGGTCTGAGGTATTCGCGTGCATATAAATGGAAATCTATAAGGGAAAAGAAGTGCAGTGTGACTGGGGCTTTAATCACTTTTTTATATGTCTAATATCACAATCACACTAGAGTTTAAGCTTGTAAAATTCTGTCGTACGGCAATGCGAAAAGGGGTGGGATTAAACAAGATGATTAGACATTTAAAATAAGCAAGCGATTGGTCTATATTTAAAATTCCTGTCCAGAGAGGTCATGTTTTGATCCTCGATTGGTCTCATGCAGTTAAGTGATGCGATTTTGAAGGTCAGAGTTCACCAAGCTTTAACTTTGCGAGGCAGTGAACTGCAAAACTTGATGCACGATCTTGCGTTTCCAGTCTGACGCATTCGTGTGTGTATAAAAGGAAGTCTATGGGAAGAAAAGTGCAGTGCTTGATCATCTAGTTTAATCCTGCCCCTTTATGCAGCATCGTACAACAGAATTTCGCATGTTCAAATTCTACTGTGACCGCAGCTTTAAACACCTTGATTTGTTGGATCAGATGTATTTGATTAGAAATCAAGCTAAAGTGTGCAGAGCTGCGGCCCTACAGGAATTGAGTTTGAATTCCCTCTAGCAATTGAGTTTTTCCTGCCAGGTGTGTCAAACAAGTTAAAGCTAAACTCATCAGGACACCGTCCCTCCAGGACCGAGTTTAGACACCCCTGTTTTAGACTAAAGTTAAATTTGCATCTCAAGTTTTGTATTCTGCTTTTAATACTACTAAAAGCAGGAAAAAGTTTCCATAAGCATATCATATTAACGTTAGAATAACAAATTATGCTCATGTTATTCTTGGAAAAGGGTTTTATGATGCTACTTTTCTTTGACTAATCTTCACGTGAAACTAATTCTAGTCAGAAGAAGAGACTAACAATCTGAAATATTCTGATTTATAACAATTAGCATACAATGAAAAATAAAATGTATTTTGCCTGACTTTTTCCTAACCCAAACGTTATCAAATAATTAATGCTGTTTCGTTTTTCATTAAACATTTTTGAAATTAATATAAAACCTGAAAGTTTTGTTTAATTACTTTAAACACGTGTTGCACATGAGCTGTTTTTTACACGTCGATTTAACCATCACTTACACATTCATATACGGTTTTTTTCGCATTAAATTTATCATTATTTTAAGAGACATACTACGACGCCAACACTGTCTTATCATATATCTCGGACACGTACTTCCGGTGTTAGCGGAAGCACCCGCTTCACGTCCATTAAAAGCTAAATTGATGGCTTTTCTATAAAATACTGTCAAATATTGAAAAACCGCGGATAAATGACAGTTTTCCAGTGACAAATGATGTTTGGTATCGAACAAAAAGGCGGCGAGCAGCAGACGTGAGCGGACATTGGAGCTGAATCTCCCGAATGAAGGTATGATGCTTTTTTCCGGGCTCTTTGTGTTTATGCAGATGATCAGACTCACGAGCTCCGTGTCAAAACCCAATCAGCTGTCAACATTTCTGGACAGTTTTGTGTGCTTTTGAAATCTAATATCGTTAATGTGACCACGAAAAGCAAAACTTGTCTGTTTATGCAAATCGCTCGTGCTGTTTTTAAAGATAACGTTACACATAGACGTAAAGGTTTTGTCGTTACATGTTATAACACTGAACATAGTGTGAACAGTGATAATGTTGTAAACAATGGCAGTGGGTGGGGATGTAGTTTATTGTTGCTAATAGGGGTGTGTCTTCAGGTTACTCTATTAATAAAAAGTCGTGTTTTTAACGTGCTTTTTTGATAGCAAAGTATTGTCGGGAGTACCTTTTAGTATTTTGGTAAATTAATAAAGTAATCTCTCAATAGCATTGTTAATATACTATTATATGTCATTGTGGTATAGTATGTTATCGTAAGGGGCAGAATGACTGATATAATAATACATAGATTTATTTATTGTCTGTCCATTTTTTCAGCTGCCCAGCAAAATATTAAGCTGCAGGTAGAATCACATTACAATTTTTGATTAAAATAAGTATGTTTAATGATCTGCTTTTCTTTAGAAAAAATACAATCCTATGAAATATTAAAATTGAACAGTTAAATATAATGTGGCAGACATTTAAAGCAATTAATTAAAGTATTTGGCTGGTCTATAGAAGCTATATAGGTAACAAAAAACAAGACCACTTAATTCTTAGTTTCTTTAATGATTTACTCTGGATTTATTAGTTATGTAGGCCCACACGGAATCTGCGTGCGCAGAAATCTGCAAATTGTTTGCAGATTTTTAGCCCATCGTTGAGTATATGTATTTACTTGTGTAAACTTATATTTATTCAATTTTTAAGTTAATTAAAAAAATTTTGCAGAGTGACATAAAATTAGTAATATTAAAATGTTTATATGATTTATTTACATTACAGTTTGTTGAGTATTATTTTCTATCTTTCATTAGATAATTTATATAAGAGGCTTGCTATGATTACTAAATATTTGTGGATCTAATAGGATTTTCACTGTAAACATTAAATAAAAGTTAGAATGTATTATTTATTTATTATTTAATATATTAAGTTTTTATGATACTCATAAAATTGTTTTGCGTAAATCTGCAGATTTTTTTTGAAAAATCCTGAGCAGAAATAGCAAAAACATGTCTGCAGATTCTGCTTAGCCCTAGTTATGGGTTTTAGTAAAATGTTTATATTTACTTCATTCTATAAATATGTGATTATAAAAATTTTAGAAAAGAATATTGTTTTGTCAATTTATGTTTTGTAAAAAAGACAATTTGTCAGAAAATGTTTAGAGTATAAATTTTTGAATATTATCAATATGTTTTAGATATGATAGCTTTCTAAGTTGATTTACAGAAGACACGCCAAAATTACTTATTTTAAGTTTTATTTTTATTTAGTTAATTTTTTTACAATACAGAACAAAAACATGCTAACATATATCAATTAGGCATGGGCCGGTATAAGATTCTAACGGTATGAGATCCTTGGATAAAAATATCACAGTTTCACGGTATTGTGATTACTGCTTTGAAATATATTCTTTTACAATTTCTGGGTAAAAAAAAAAAAAAAAAAAAACTGTTTTTCCACTTTGATTACAATGGCTGTGTCTGAAATTGCCTACTTCCATACTATATATAATGGTAAAAACAGTATGCGAGTATGTAGTATGTCTGAATTCATAGATATCGAAAAATAGTATGCGAGAAGTACCCAGATGACCTACTACTTTCATCAAGATTCTTAAGTGTTCATCCGATGCACGCTACGCTTTCCCAATATGCACCGTGAGAGAATTCATGAATAAGAGTGAAGTGGGTGTGTCACGTGATCATGATGAAATGGCAGATGTAAGCTTTATCCATACTACTCACATTCATACTGTATTGAAAGTACTTTTCTATTAGTCGAGTTGTAATTTCAAATTTAAATGTAGTATCTACTGAGAAGTAGGCAATTTTGGACGCAGCTAGTATATTTTATTTCAAGACCCACTTAAAGTATTATGAAACAGTAAATATGTCAGGCTAAATAATTCAAATGAATCATTGCTCTCTTCATTTGTTTCAAAAACAGATTTCTTTACAATTTAAAATGGCATCTTTGAATATTATTTCTGCTGGAGATAATGTTGACATAAATTGTTTTAACCTTGACTTTTCCAAACCATGGTATATCTTGAAAACGGTTATCATCCCATGCCTAGTCCTTGGAACTCTATATCCAAACAACTCAGAAATAGCACAGAAATAACATTACGCACATCATCCCAAAACGGTTTAATTTTCCAACAGCTTCCGGAGATATGGGTATGATTTGCTTCTGCCTGCCCACTCTGTCTCCATCACTTTTTTGTTTTTGTCTGGAAGTCTGTTTGCTTTTAATCTTGGGTGTTATAAAGAAGTGTACAGTATAATGCATTTCCAAGAAAATTCCCTTTAAACCTGTAAACTAGTGGTAGAAGTTGAAGTAATGAGGTAAGAAGTAATGAACTTAGAAGTTGAAGTAATGAGGTATTTAATTAACTCATTACCTTCAACACTGAGTTCAAAACTCTTTTCAAATGAGTAGAATTAACTTTCTGTAAATTTTAAGTTAACCACACTCATTTCATTTGGTAGAGTTGACTGTTGGGTATTACAGTGCAATAAACGAAGAGAACTCAAACTAACTGAGTACTGTAAAACCACAAAAGTTATGGCAACTCAAACCATTTGAGGAAACCGATTGCTACAAACCATTTGAGTAAAAAAAAAAAAGCTAATCTATGTGAGACCTGTGAACTTACTCCATTTAAGTTGAAGAAATGATGAGTTATTTAATTAACTCATTACCTTCAACACTGAGTTCAAAACTCTTTTTAGATGAGTTAATTAACTTTCAGTAAATTTTGAGTTAACTACACTCATTTCATTTGATAAAGTTGACTGTTGGATTTTACAGTGTTGTAAAATGAAGGTTGAATGGTATAAGGTTGAGTAATTGATTAAACTTTGGGTAAATCAATACCTTTAACCCCTTTTATGAAGTGTATTTATTTCAGCTTATTATCGTTTATTATATTAAACTTTTTTTTTTTTCAGAAATTTGACTTTTTTGCGTAAGAGTTTTTTTGCTTAAGACTGAGGTAAAATACTTAATTGGAAATTTAATATGAACATCTTAGTATTTGATGTCACTTGATTCTTTAAATGTAAATTCACCTAATTTCTAAATGCAATACATATTGTTTTTTTTTTGTTTTTTTTTGTTTGATTGTAGGTTTAAAAACCAGTTGAATAAATTACACAGAAGATAAACTGAAAAACATATTAGGAAATGTATCATTTGTTAAAAAAATCATATATTAGCTCATATTATGAACATTCTAATGATTTTATTATTAGGGAGGCAGTTTTCAATTCTTGTTGGCTTGATATGCAAATCTAATTGGATTTGAAAAAATCTATTCATTTTGTCATCCCAGGGGAGGAGGCTCAACATGGAGGACTGCTTGCACACTTCCTCTGACAACCTCGCTAAACTAGTGAAATGGGCCCACAGTCACGGGACAATCTGCACCTTGATCCCCAACCTCAAACACATGCTGAACGAGGGCTCCCATGGGACCCTCACGGCCCTGTGGGGCTGCAGCGCCGGGCATGCCTACCACTGGCCCCTCAACACCACCTGCAAAACCGGAAACAAGGAGCGCATGTGTTTCCAGGAAAGTCGGAGCATCAACACAGACACTATGATTCAGGCCGCCGCCGCCATGCAAAACTCCTCGGCAGATCGATTCCTCGGAAAAAAAAACAAAGGCGATTCCAATCAGATCCACGACTCCTGCGATATTTCCAACTGCAGTGAACCTTCAGAAATGGACGATAATGGCGAGGAGTATAACAACAACTTGTACGACATAGTCTGTGAATCATCAGCAACTGATGAAGATGGTGATTCTGACTTCAATCACACGCCAAACATCTCGCACAGGAAAAGACATGGAAAAGGGACGGGACATGAAGACAGTATTGACCCCTCCTTGAAGAAAATCAAACAAGAAAGAGGCGAAGATTACTACAGTTTGGCCAATCCACAGATTCCCAGCAGTTCAGAGATAAACCGCTCTACCGAGTTGCCCAAACCGAACCTCCAGAGCACACCTTTGATGTCCCAGAAACCTTCTTCCATAGATGGAGACTCAATGGGGGTGTCGTCATCTCCCTTGGACAGTTCTCCTACTTCCATGATCAAGCCACTGCGTGCACCTTTCCATGTTACCCAAAATAAAGTGCACATGAACTCTAATCCAGCGTGCAGTCAGAGTATGCCCACTTTACCTCATCCTGGACGGATTGACGCTATGGGTGTCCTGCACAGAGATGAATATCCCAGACCGTCTTTGTCTTACGGAGAGGCTTCGATTGGCGCAAACCCAGAAATGGATCTTCTATCTGCACAGGCACTTAGTACAGAAGCGAGAGCAGACAACACAGGTAAAGAGCCTTCTGTGTAAGAAATGTTACAGAAGTGTATGTTGTTGAGAATGTTGTTGGTTAAAGTGGCTGTATGCAAGTTTAGAAAGACTTATCAGTGCTGTTAGCAACATATAGCACAACTGCACTGTGAGCGTTCTGATTCCCAACTCACAGACCTTATTCAATCTTGCCCTAGTCTCTCTCTCTAACTTCACTTACAAAACGGCAAAAGGAAATAAAAATAAAAAACTTGTTTTTAGCGACACCAGTGGCCAATCAATGAGTTACAGTTCCCCTCGTATGCTGCGTTCAACCAGATGCGGCATGTGCGAATATATGCACGGACATTTACTCACTTCATTCGCACGTCAAATTCACTTTACTATAGATGCAGATTTGCACTTCTTTTTGCCCAGTGACTCTAGCTTTGTTGCTAAATGGCTTACATGGACTTTATTAAGAGAATAGCTGTGTTTTATGTGCATTAAGAACGCTGAAAAACAGCGTATATTTCTTCGGCACCATGTCTAAGTCCACTAGATCCTTTCAGAGGTGCACCCAGCTCTGTGAGTTTATAAACTCCTTTGGAAAGTATACCTGGATGATGGAGGCTTTCAGTGATGCCTCTGACTGAGCCGAGCCCAGTTTGATAAGCTGTTGTCTGGTGTCTGCAAGAGGATTTTCTACAGGATCAAAAAGCATAACGTCATAATCATGCCCCTACAAGAGAAAACTCCTGACGCGAATCTATGCTTAAGTTCAAATGCACAAAACGCTTAACTCATGTCTCTTTATTCACACAAATTGTGCCATTCGTGCTGCGGAATGTCAATCATGTAAATCACACGCGATTGATGCTTCGTCCACGTTTGGTGTGAACGCATTATTATTGTTTGTGCTTACATTTGTTCACACACAAAACATTGTGCATGCTGGGACATTTTCACTTCCAGCAACTGTCTTTCCATTATAAAACTGCCATGTTTAAGGTCTTATTTCTTTAAAAATCAGCGATCTTTGCTTCCTGATAGATATATGATATGAAGTGTGTCCAGACCGGACAAGAAGAAGCACTGCATTAAATTCCTTTTTCGTCCGCCATCTCTTTAGAATATGTTTACCCCAGTATTTTCAATAAAGTTTCTGCGCTCACCTGCTGATCCTGACAGCGCTAGCGAATACAGTCTTTTCATCTAATATTACGATTAAACAACTGAACGCATGCTTTAGTCTATTAAACTGAATTTATTGTAATTACATAATAACATTGATGCTGTTAAACCTTATGAAAATGAAAATATTTACATTAAGCTTTCACCAGAAATTTATCATTGGCTGAAAAACACTAGCTCTGCATATACCTCATTGTGCTTAATAATCATCCCGGTGTGCACAAGCCTTAACATGCAAGAACCTAAACGTGAATGTTAATGGCGGAAAGAAAACAGTAGTTAAACAGGATCACGGCGACATGAATATGCTTGCATAAGATCTGCAATTGACCATCATCATGTTGAAAGACAGTAGACATTAAAACAATGTTATAATAGTTTTATTGTCAATTATTTTAAGACTATAGACCAGGCCTGTCCAAACTCGGTCCTTGAGGGTCAGTGTCCTGCAGAGTTTAGCTTCAACCCCAATTAGGGCCTACTCACACTATGCTATTTGAACCGTGCCCATGCCCGTTTCCTGGAGAAGTGTGAGTGCGCTGAATCGGGCTCAGGCATGGTTCACTTGGCTGGCCCTGGCCCGGTTGGAAGAGGTGTGCCTGAGTGCGGTTCACTTGGGCTTTGAAACTAAAAACTGAAACTGAAAGCGAGATGTGACTTTTAAGGGACTGTTTCATATGGATTTATTAATCATTCTTACCGTTCAATGAACGCAAACTGTCGTAGTTTATTGAAGACGCAAACTCCTCACTGCACCACAACTTCGCCTTCAGCAAACCTCCTAATTCCTGCAGCACGAGGACTTTATAACTGTTTATGAGCGTCAAAAGTGGCAGATCTGTTCTGAGAAATATTTGACTGTGTGTCACCGCATCCCAAAGGACTAAAACAATATAACTAGAGAAATCTCCACTGTGCTGAGCGAGAGTGCACAGTGCATTATAAGAATCATTATTATAACAACATTATAAGAATTTGGAATACAATGGATCAGATAAGCATGCGTAAATGTGACATATGCATAAATATCATATTTAAATACTTTACATAAAAATCTATTTGTAGGCTTCAGAGGCAGCCTAGGATGTCAAGTAAAGGTTTAAGTTTTGTTACAAGCTGTTTAGAGATTGGCAAATAATAACTAAAAATTCTGACATACTGCCCTTTTAAGTGTATGTTTAACTGTAAAATGTTTGAATATCATTGCCATTGCATTGGCATTAGCATTGCAGTATCATTACCAAAAGATGACTACAATCATGACATGAATTTTTTATTTGTTGGTCTCCTTAAAACAGCTTGTCATTTTAATAGTATTTAATATTATTAATATTTAATAATATTAAAATTATTTATTCACAACAGTTTTTTTGTAAAAAATATAAAATATTGAATAAATGCTCTTTTGATTTATTGTAGATCAAAAATGTCAAAAATAGATGTAAGATGTAGATGTAAGAGTCATTCAGAGCTTAATATAAAATATGATAACCATATTATAAAAATATAATTTAATGACACACACACACACACACACACACACACACACACACACACACAGTTAAAGTCCGAATTATTAGCCCCTTTGTATTTTTCTTTCTTTTTTTAATATTTAAAGTTTTATTTGTTTAATTTTGGCTAGAATAAAAGCAGTTTTTAATTTTTTAAAAACCATTTCAAGTTCAAAATTGTTAGCCCCTTTAAGCTATATTTGTTTTCAGTAGTCTACAGAACAAACCATCGTTACACAATAACTAATTACCCTAAATTGTCTTGTTAACCTGATTAACCCAGTTAAACCTTTAAATGTCACTTTAAGCTGTATAGAAGTGTCTTGAAAAATATTATGTACTGTCATCATGGCAAAGATAAAAGAAATCAGTTATTAGAAAAGAGTTATTAAAACTATTATGTTTGGAAATGTGTTGAGAAAATTGGGGACTAATAATTCAGGGGGGCTAATAATTCTGACTTCTAACTGTATATTCAGAAGCATTTACCTATTAGTTTAAACAAATAATAAAATTGTTGTGTGCTTTTTTTGTCTTTTTTTTCATTTTTCTAATGTTTTTGTCATTTTAGTATTTTCACAGATTTGTTTTATTTTAATCAATAGTAAAAGCAGTTTTATTATTATTATAATTATATTAATTAATAAAAACTTATTATTAAAAAGATAAAACTTAACAGAAAAAAGATTACATTAACATGTCTATATATGTCTTTATACAAGTGATGACATCAGTTCAGGTTAACTCCCCAAAACATCATTTTTTAAACATATTTATACCAAATGTATTTTAACTTTAATTTTATTTGTTTAATTAATATTGATATAATGCTTGTACTAAAGCAATAACATAGTATTTGAATATTGTGAGACTGAAGCCAGGGGGGTTCGAGTCAAGTGAAATCTGATGCAAGTAAAGTAAATTTTCACTGAATTGTTGTTATAGAGAAAACATTTTTATACAATACTTTTATTCTAAATCTTGGACCTTATTCTTAAAAGAAAAAATGACCAATAAAAAGTTATAAAGCAGCAAAAGCGGCCAATTTTAATACCTATTAAGTTATTGTTGTTATCAATTTATTTTCAAATGTACTTTTCTATTTTTAGAAAAGTCATGAAACTTTACTTTATATTTATGTTTATTTATTTTTTCATTATTCAAATGGTCAAATTCTGACTAAGGAAAGCCGAATGTGCTGGCCAGTTTGTAATTTGCTTAATAAATGACGATGGGCCACAGTTTTTAAATTTAAAACTTCAACAGATTCATATCCGAATTAGCCGAATTGCCATGAGATTTGTATTCTGATTTTGACTGTCTGTTGAGCCCGTGTGTGCTTAAAATGAACAAAATTTCTTTTATCTTATACTGAACAGGAAGAAGCTAAAACAATAATAAAACGAAAGTCTGACATTCCTCAATAAATCAGCAGTATTGAAAAGTAGAAACTGTAGTGTATTTTCCGTGTGCTCTGAACATTGCTGAATGCAAACGGTATGGTTCTTCATAATTATTTAATCATATAAGCCACTCTTGTCTCTTAAGAGCAATTACACAGTGGGTGCAAATCAAATCATCTTATATGAGCCAGAATTTTTTTTTTAGATATAATCTGTACTTATGCTTCTTTCTGAGTGTTGTGAAAATATGCTTCTTTCTGAGTGGTGTGTGTGATGATTGTGGGTGCAGTTGTTGCTGAATCATATCCATCTTCTTAATTCCATTTATGATGCCGTCTCAGTCAAAGGCATAAATGAGATTCATGTGAAACTTAACACGGTACAATAAACATGAGTCAGACTGGAGTACTGCTTAAAGTCCACATGAAATCTAAATTTACTATGTTTATTTACTAGCTCATATTGTTCATCTTAAAGTGAACAATTTATCTGTGCAAGTTAATCCATAAATTTGTTTGTTCATCCATTTGATGACATCGAGCAAAATATCCTTAGCCATGGTTTGTGTGAGAGGAGCAAAATAAATAAATAAATAAAACCCCACCTCCTACTAAATATTCTATTTCAGTTGGATATACATCTTATAAAGGTGTTGTCATATAAAGCTGATGGCCAGAAGATTGTATTTCCATGCATGCATCATGAGTGATTTTATGTGAAAATTGTTGGGATAGTGATATCTATGTCACAACTTTATGATCTAAAGCCTTATTCATAAATGTGGTGTATGCTCAAAAACGGGGGGTAGAAATATGCTGTATGCCACTTCCCACACAAACGTTGTGATCTATAAAAAAACAAACTTGATGGGAGAATGTGCACATCTGTATGTAAAGTAAATTTATTTACTGAAATATTGACTTAATTAGACC